TTAATATAATTTTTATATTAAAATTTGATTATCCATATAATTTTATTATATTTCAGCTGTTAAAAACATCTGGTGGTTACATATCAGTTTTATTAGCACATCGTAATTAAATTAGAAACATTTATAAAATATTATTAAACAATTGCGTAACATCACAATTTTATTGTTGATAGAAATAAATTACGTAATAAAATTACATAATAAAATTTTAACTATTATTTACTATTATACATTTCTTATTGCAACATTTCTTGTAACTTTAATATAAATCAATTCTATATTTTAATTTTTCTATGCGTTTTAATTATATCCTTTTCTGTTAATAAATTAAATAAATAAATTCGATTTAAATTTATCGTTGCAATTTTATATTGCATATTAATTTTTTTCACGTAATGAAAATTTTTAAGTAAACAATTGTTCGCTGGATCATACGGCAAATAAACCGTGAATAGTCCTTCTAGATAAACAAATGCATATTATTACATAAAATAAAAAATGAAAACAATATTTCATGATATATTATGAGACATGACAAATAACATGTTACTTGTAACGCTGTTACCGTTATTATTACTTTTTTATAATCATTTGATAATAACATTACTATTTTTCATGGCAATGGCAATGATTTTGAGATTAATAACAATCATTTTTTTAAAATAATTTACTATCATTATATGTATTTCTTATTGAAAATGGTTACTCATTACGTAAGTGTTCAGAAAAAAATAATATTACAATTCTTCGTGATTTTTTTCGATTTAATAAAGACAAGTGAAAAAAAATTCTCATAATTCTCATAATTACGTGCAACTTTATATAAATAAAAAAATAAGATTAGAATAGAATTAGTATGAAAAAATTCAAAAAAATAATTAAAAATTCTAAAGATATTATAATTAAGATAATATTTTTGTAATTTATTAATAATCTTTTATAATTATTACTGTCTTAGATTTATAATAATTTAGATTATTTTTATGAAACTTTACAATATTTTCTTTGCTGAACGTTACAAATATTAGACATAATACACAATTGTTCATAAATTGATTTAGGGTCTTAGTTGAATAGCTGACTTATAATTTTAAGACAATGTCTTATGATTTCTGAAATCTTTTGTTTTTAACGCACAATAACTGTCTTGTGATTTAAGCTGTATATACATAAGGTATTATTAAAGATTTAAAGTTAAAAAGATTTATGTCATACGATATTGTCTTAAGATTATAAGTCCATTCTGTTAAAGCCTTAAAGGTATAATCTTACTTATCGTTCTTAATTTAACATCACATTCAACATTACTACTCTTCGCAATAATTTCATTATAATATTCATATTATTATTATACGTATCAAAATGTGTACAGCTGTGTACATACTTCGTATTCGATACGTATTCGATACGTATACAATATATAAATTGCACTATACTCATTACCGTATTTCCCAAAGTTTGCCAGGCGCAATGTAAAAACAGATCTATGTAATGGGACAGCTAACGTATCTCCTAATCGCATTGGCAACCGTAGGTAAATTAAACATCAAGAACATGATAACAATTTCTGTGACTAACAAATTTCATAATTAAATTACGTTTTTTTATTAACTTACTTTGTATTTATATTTATTTTATTATTTAATTCATTTACTTTAGAAATATCATATATCAACACATTATAAAACTATTACTTTCACAATACATTCGCAGGATTTATGGAGACCAAACAAGTTAATAAATGGAATACCTACCACTATAGAGAAAAATCCTCATTTATCTCTCTAAGAATTAACAATAGTCACTTTGCGGCGATAGCATAATCGATTCACAATATATCCTAACTGCCGGGTATTGCATGGCCCCTCCATTTTCTGACGATTCTCTAAGCAAATCTATAATCATTATTACTGGCACGACCTACCTCGATAAAGGTGGACAGATTTATAATGTGGAAAAATTGTGGTACCATGATAATTATAATCCTCATGCACTGGGTAGAGGGGCTCATGACATGGACTTAATAAAGGTATAACATCTTGAAATAAATAATATATTATAAGCATCAATTTGTGACATGTATAACATGTATGACATGTATGACATGGACATACAGTATACTTTTCGATATAGCAATAATAGACAGATGTCAAATGATGAAATGTATTTTAATCATTCTCGTAGTTTAGTTCATAATATATAGTATTTTTAGCTGATGTCGCCGATTGAGTTTGGTCCAACACAAAAATCAATTAAATTCCCAACAAAGAATGTGACAAAGAGAGAATGTGATGACGTTACAATTGCTGCCTGGGGTTCTACGGATTTTAATAAACCCGTATATAATAATTTACAAAAGTTGACCGCGGATGTCATTCTTCCAGACACATGCCAGATTTATCACAATTTTATTATGAAGATTTATAAGAATGAATTCTGTATCCTTATCAAGGAAGGAATTGGATTATGCAAGGTATATAATATAATATTACATTTAATGCCTCAATACATTTAATTTTACTCTTGCATATCTTTTTATATTTAACGATTTTCATCTAAATACACACTAGATTTTGTAATTTTGTTTATTAATAATGACACTGTATTACATTCGCGTTACAATATTACATCCCCTATATTTTCCAAGGTCATATTTTACATCATAATTAATTCATATTATGTATAATAGAATTGATTCCACAATAGAATTTCTTTTATATTGTATAGCTCTCTTTACTTAATTGTTTATAGCAATGATAACGCGAAATTATTGAAACTCTTAAATAATGCCAATTTTGGATTCAGTATAATGCATAAAATATTAATAATCTCAGCCACATAAGGAATAATACAATAATACTTTCTATTTTTCCGTTACAGGATGACAGCGGTAGCAGACTGATTCAAGACAGCGATGGAACAATTATTGGTTTGGTATCTGGTGGGAGACCGTGCGCCAAGGATTATCCAAATGTACCAACATTTATCCCTATCTTTCTTGGATCAAAGAAAAAATGATGAAATGATATCATTTCTTTTGTATCATATGTTCTTAAAACTTAATAAATAAATAATAATAAATTATAATAATAAAAATCACTGAAAAAATATTTATATTCCTTATTATATATTATAATTATTAATATACATTATTTGTAGAACTCTTACTGATGAATTTTCATTGTTACTCATACAGCATAACTTTATCTGAGAACTTTATTCTAAGAACATCCATAGAACATAAAGAGAATATCAAAAATTTAAATGGCGGAAGACATTTGGATAGAAGATTAATTTCGAAATGTTAAACATTAAAATTCAAGTATAGTATGAATTTACTATCTGATATTGAGTTCTTACATAATGGTTACGTTAACATTTTAAATAATGTTTCAAAGTACGATAAGTACTTTGAAACATTATTTAAAATGTTAACGAATTGACTGTATCGTTCAGGCTCAACAATTATCAACAATTATATATATTATTTACGTTTTTATCACTTGATGCATTACTTTAATACTACTCGTTTTTTGTGTGAAGCAACCTTATTGCTCGCTTAAACTTTGTTGAACTTAGTCAAGTTATTGTAACAATTTATATTTGATAATATTCTATTTTGCACTGTTTCATGGTTCTGTATTCAATCATAGTTGCAGCAGGTGAGTGAATTATTTAATTTTTTTTTCATATTAGAAATCTTCTTCTTGAACTTTCTCACGCTTTAGAGTTCACTTAATCTAAGAACTACTTAACGGATTTACTGTTCAAACATAGAAATTAATGGAGGCTTTATCGTTGCACACCGAGATTGCATCTTTTGCAAACACAGAGTTCATATTATTACGAATTATTGGATTTTTAAATATCACACAGTTTGAATTAAGACCAAACGTTCGATCGTCACGTAAAGAATGTAAGAAAGAATTAAATATAATTTACATTGCTAAAATTATGGCGCGTAAATTATCGCACAGATCTTTTACTCTCACTCGCTCTGAATATTATTGTTTAAATTTCAAGAGTCACATTAAGCATGAATATTATTGTTTAAATTTCAAAAGTCACTTTATATTTGAAGATGAAATAATTATATTATTGCAACAAATAATCCAAAGTTGGAAAGTAACTAGATAATACTTGTAATTAAGTGTGCTTTCCCGCAAGTAATACTGCGTAACACAATATACTATCCGATGCTTTCCAATTCTACGACACAATCGTTCAGAGCTAAAATGTTAAGTGACTTTGTTTCTCTCTATGAATACCAACATGATCAACATTTTTACATTTGATACTTTTTTGTGGTAAAGATGAACTAAATATGTTGTAAAATATAAATACAGAATTACTTATAATAATATGAATCGTGAAAATTAATAGCCATCTCTTGATATATTACAATAGAAAGAAATTATGTCTACGAGCTTACCTACGATATATTATATCATGACTACGATATTCTGCATTTTGCTTTAATGATAATAACAAAATGAACAAATTAAACAATAAACTATAATCGAATCAGACGGACAGCCTATACAACTATTAATGCAATCCGTTAAATTCACTGTGTAATTATCCATAAATAGCGAATAGGGCATATTATATAAAACATTAATGATATAATATAAAACATTAATGGATGCATTCAGAACGTTCAGTGACCTTTTTCATCTGATTGGTATATTCCTTTAAATCCTAAAATATAGATCAATCAGATGAAAGAACTCACTAAGCGCTCAGTGAGCGATTGTTGTTCTGATTACACCCACTCAAAGCATCGAATAATTGATTTCCTTTCATAACAATTTTTTCATGACAAATAATAGTGACAATTTTGCACAATTCAGTCTTTTATTTTCAAAAATCT